GGTTACTTCAGTGATAGCAGGGAACGTGCGTTCCCTCCATTTTTTTAGTACATAGTGCACGATGAGACGTTTTGGTGAGATTGGTTAGTGATGTAATTTGTTTTGTTAACGTACCGCTACCTCAAGGTTGGTCCGGTGCTTATCCGTTAGTTGGAGTGGGCGCAGGTGACTTGTTAGCACTCCAAGCCTACAGGCCGGTCAACCGGGGTTAACAAGAAAAGAAAAGAAAAAACAGTTTGTTAGTATTTTTGTATCATAGCTATACCACGAGCACAACAAATTAATAAAACAATTATTTTATGTAGAAATATGTATACTTATCTCAGTGTCACAACGCTATTATTTTATTTCCTCTATAGTGTTTTGTGTAAATTAATTTAATTAATTTTTATATTAGCTTTTTTTATAAAGGATTTCATAAAATAATATAGGATTCTAATACAATCTAGCTTAAAACCAAGAAAATAATTGTAAAAAAAATAGTACCTATATTGTGCGACTATTGGGAGAAAGAGATTTCCCAAGCGTGGAGTGGGATATCACGCCAGTGGAATCTCCTCCTTTGACCAATAATCGCAAACAATATTTAATTCAACTACCGCAAGGAATTTAAAGCTAATATTATTTGATATTTTATCTGAAATCTGATAACTATCAAACAGTTTAACCTCAATTTTAACTTAAGCTAACGAAATGTCGCCCAAAGGTTGAAGAAAATTAACATTTAGGGAATTCATTACGTTGCCCACTCTCGACAGGGCCCCGAAATTACATATTCCTTGCGGGTGTTAAATAAACTATTTTTGTGAATTTGTAAATAAAACATTTTTGACAAGCAGTCTTTGAGTTTTTAAAATGTTATTTTGATTACCTATTTGAAATTGAATAAATTACTCATAAAAAGAGATTAAAAAAAAATTAAGTTAAATGTTAAAATTTGTTAATAATAATACAAGTAATAATGATTTAAAGTTTTAAGTTTTTGACACAAACTGTCATAAATATCATCAGTCAACCTAATAGACCAGTGCAGAAGCCTTTAAAAATGGTAAAAAGAGAAAAAAAATAACAGTAGGATGAAACCCATTGGAAAAGGAGGGGAATATAATAAAAATTAAAGGAAAAATAAATTACGGGCGATCTGAGTTCGGGAAGTGGGAGGGGGGGGTTTTAAGGGTAAAAAATGGTTTATCTCGATTTCCGGCAAAACTACAAGTCCTATGGAAAAAAGTTAAATGTCAAAGTTGTAGGTAATAAAAAGATCTACAACTTTTGTATTTACAATTTTTTCACATAACCTCAAAATTTATGTGAAAAATTCAAAAAACCAAGTTTTTGGTTTTTTATTTTTATCTTTTTCAAAAAAAAAAATTTTTCCACGAAATTTGGTGAAAACTTACCTTTTTATGTCCCAAATACACTGTAATTTATTTGATTTGAAATATTTATTATTTCGCCTTATTTTGACTTAATATCAAAAAAGCACCCTAATTTTCAATCAAAAATTCTCGCGTCAAAATATCAGCTTTTTTCAAAAAGTCGGTGTGCTTTTTGTTCGATGAACTCTCTACTTTCTGATGGTGTAAAATAAATATACATTACTATGGTAAATGTTCTCAGAAAATACAAAAAATATTATAATGAATAACGTAATCAGAATGAAGTATCTAAATTCAATAGTATGATTTACATGTATTTTTATATTTTATGAGATTTTCTGACATAAATGTTATTAGAATTTAATAAATAAACTTTTTAACTAAAAAAAATTGCAACAATCACATTTTTTTGATGAAATTGTACATAATGATTAAAATAAATTTTCGAATTCGAGTTTTTTTCGTTATTCATTATAATATTTTTTGCATTTTCTGAGAACATTTACCATAGTAATGTATATTTTTTTTACACCATCAGAAAGTAGAGATTTCAACGAACAAAAAGCACACCGACTTTTTGAAAAAAGCTGATATTTTGACGCGAGAATTTTCGATTGAAAATTAGGGTGCTTTTTTGATATTAAGTCAAAATAAGGCGAAATAATAAATATTTTAAATCAAATAAATTACAGTGTATTTGGGACATAAAAAGGTAAGTTTTCACCAAATTTCGTGAAAAAATTTTTTTTTTTGAAAAAGATAAAAATAAAAAACCAAAAACTTGGTTTTTTAAATTTTTTACATAAATTTTGAGGTTATGTAAAAAAATTGTAATTACAAAAGTTGTAGATCCTTTTATTACCTACAACTTTGCCATTTAACTTTTTTCCATAGGACTTGTAGTTTTGCCGGAAATCGAGATAAACCATTTTTTACCCTTAAAACCCCCCCCTCCCACTTCCCGAAGTCAGATCGCCCGTAATTTATTTTTCCTTTCATTTTTATTATATTCTTCTCCTTTTCCAATGGGTTTCATCCTACTGTAATTTTTTTTGGTTTCAAAAATTATCGACCCTGGTCTATAAGCTGTCTTATTTAAATTGTTTCTTAACAACCATTATTAAATTATAAATATTTCAGTCTATGAGGACAGACAGAGTTGCTGTTTTTAAACCACTTAATAACTTAAAAACTACTCAAAAAAATTGTTATATTTTTTAATTGTTTTGGGAATAAATTAATTAATGTGTATAAAAAAGCATTTTTAGAGTTTACTTGGTTCTAAATGTGTATTAAAGATTTTTTTATTTATTTTTTTAAACAGTGTTTATTAGAAGAATTTTTTCATCTAAAGAAAAGTTTGACTTTGAATATATTGGATTATTTTATTAGTAGGTTTTTTATAAAAATTATAAAATATAAAATATTTATCACAAATATTGTTTATGTCAAAAACAATTTTAATATTTTAATTATTTTTTAGGTTTCTTAAAAAATAAATCACTAAAAATACATTTTTGTGTTATTTACCAAATTAATTATTTACTAAATAAAATTAATGTTAGTGTCAACAAAATTTTGTGTTAAAATGTTAAAAATACTGTCTTAATGGGTGTTAGGTATGCCAATTTGTTAAGGATATTTATTACGTAGATATTTTCTTTAAAATTTTGAAATATTCCCGATCATGCAATAATAATAATTATTATAATCATAAAAACAAAAATAGAAATATGTGTGTGACACGAGATAAAGTATAGCATTTTTACATATATGTAAGTAATATAATAACCAGCAGGGTGAAAGTGTTCTATAGGCTATATTAAAATGCGTGCTGAAGTTAAGAAAAATCAAAAATTATGTAAGATTATCAAAATAGTAAAATTTTATGAACTAAGGACAAAAGCTGGAAAACGTTGATTTTGACACATGCACGTAAAGTTGGAAAATTTCTTATTTAATTAAAACTGTTGCCTTCCAGCCTGTCAAAAAAATATTAGAAGGCATTTTTGGTGTTATTAACTGTACAAAAAAATTGGTTAATTTGCAATAATTTTAATATAGTGCCATGGAACACAGTCACACATTATTTTTTCATCATTCATACAAATAAATAGAATTAGTTTACTTGGCCATGTGGAATTAGAAAAGTTATGAAATATTGTGTAGTGTTAATGCAATTATTAATACAAAAGTTAATACTAAAAAATAATATGAAATGGTGCCATTTGCTAGAAAGTTACCATTTAATTTAATTTTTTACTTCTACAACAAACTATGAGTTTTTATTTGTTAAAACATAGTCCATCATAAAATGGGTGCAAAAAATCTCCTCAAATTTGTGATAATAATATTATAACAATAAATGCTTGCTTACTGTCCATATATTTACACAAATTTGAAAAAAAAATTAAACCTCTGTTGTTATACCTAGGGTTGTTTTTTGTTTGTAAAGCAAATAAAATTGCAACATGTTGGATTTTGTATAAATATATTTTGTTCCACATTGGCGCAAGTCAACAACATACAAAAAATATAATATACTATATAAATGTATACAAAACTACTTAAATAATAAAATGAGGACAACGAACGATGAGAGCGTTTGAGAAAAAAATTGGCCATCGTAAGCAGTCCGTGATTTTTTAACAAATAAATTAAAAAAAGAGAAAATGCCAAGGAGATTAAGTGTACCCCTTCATCGACGGCGTACAGTCAATGTCCTTAATAAAAATGCTGCATCTCAACTTAATCAAACGAAAACGGAAAGAAGGATTTCGAGCAGTATATAGATATACTTTGTATTTAAATAAATATAAAAATAAATGTATCTATTTTAAGAAATTTTCTCTAGACTAGCTTTCACAACTCAATATATGATGTTGTATGAGGTACAAATTGTACCTTACAACGTATTACTAAGGCTATAATATAATATTCAGCAAAATTGCCTTTTATTTTTTACTAATACAGTTGACAATCAAGAGCAAATTTGTACAATAACTTTAATACATTTTAATGAAAACCGGGCTTTTTAGAATACACAAAACGGGCATAATATTTATAAAAGTGCAAAATGCAAAATTTGCTCTTGAATTTTTAAAATTTACTTAAAAAAGGCATTTTTGAAATATGTGCATTTAGAGGATTAAAGTGTGTAAATTAATGCAAATGGTAACCTGAAAAAGTGTGGTCCTTCTTTCCAATAAAATTACATTTAAATAAAATAAAATAATAAAAAAGTATAAACAAAAAAGCTGTAAAATTGTACGTATGTGATTTTGTCACAACCCGCATTTATTAATAATAATAATAATAATAAAAAAACTAAACTCAATACTGATAACTGCTCAAAACTAAAAATTTCAACGAAATGTGTGTATATAAAATATAAATAAATGTTTTAGCACCGGAATACAGTCCATGGGACGAGATTGATTGAAGACATCCAAATCAAAATCAAAACCGAAACTCTGACTGAACTATTTTGAGTTTGATTGGGATGGATAGATTGGTAATAGATCTAGTAAAGTAGATAATACTTGACACCATACAGAGAATCACACTGCTGGCTTTCATCTGAAATAAATAAGAAACAAAACGTAACTAACCTTGTCGAATTTAAGAAAGAGCACCAGCCCTCTGGTACGGATGTTCCCTAATCTGTCCCAGGTGTCTGCGTTGCTTAGCAGCAACAGCCGCGGCACCTATACAAAGCATTATTTAGAGCAAATGTCATTAAACAAGATGCAGTCTCCTTACTAGAAACTCAGAGAAAATGTGAATGGAACAGCTTAATTTATAAACATTTCATCAACAACATTCTTCTAAATTTGTTTTAACAACTTTATGATCTACAAAATCAATATCAACATAAGTTGACTGTTAACTACAGGTAGAGGTGTGGCTTATATTTACAATAATAAACGTATACGTGTATTATTGTGTTATAACACTGGTGAGATGGAATTCACCATTTTTGAACAAGAACATGCGCAGTGTTTATATTATAGGAACTGCGCATGTTACCAAACTTATTTATTTTGCGATTTGCTAGAGCCATATTAATTACTTTAAGTTTAAAGTGATATTTTTTAATCGACATTACTTTTGTTAAATGAATTGTTTATAAACCGATTAACCTAGAAATTAACTACTACTTTGTAGCTACTAAAAATAACTAAAGCTCAAATTTATCCCTTATTACATCATTGAATAAATGAAAGCAAGATGCTTTTAATAATAACAGATAAACTTTCGGATATATTTACAAAATTTAAAATATTTAATTTCCTATGGATCGTAATTTAAAAAAATCTTAACTCAATAAATATCTTAAGGTAACATAGACAATATAATAAATGCATATACATAAAAAACTAACTAGGTGATGTTAAAACTCTTATATAAAATTAAAAAAAACTATATATGTACATGTGATGTAACAAAAGAGACTTTAATAAATGAGCAGGGCAAAATTTGTTCGCAATGAAAAGAATTATTTCAAATATAAGTTAAAATTCCCCATTAAAAAAGTTGACTATTGTTTGTTGACCAGATGTTACATAAAGTACATTTGTCTCAAATTATTTAAAAAAAAACATAAAATATATAAATAAAAATATAAGACTTAGTCGCTATGACTCGTGAAATAATAAAAAATAATAATAAAATATAATATTTTTTTGTTATTTTCATGTTTAAGATTAAGTTAAAACTTGGCGCGAATGTTGCGCGTCTAATAAACAACCTGTTACGCGGTCAGAGTATCACAGAAGTATAATAATATTGTAACTTGATTAATTAAAAATTGTGACTAAATATCCCTCCAAATTGATTATATGAATATGGCGGGCGTAGGCAATTGTTTGTTCAGAAAATAGCACCGGGTTTTAAACTTTAAAGCAACTTATCCACAGCATAATGTACATGTAAAACAATAGTGAAACGTTTAAAAAACATGTTTTTTTTAAACCAAAACATTGTTTTTATCAAATTATAAGAAAAACTTACATATCAATTAAAAAAGCATTGATTTTTGGACAAGTGTCGCCATCTATAGTGTCTTAAGGACACCATAGTAGCATACAACTTTTCCGGGGAATACCCTTTCCTTACGAATAGGTAGAATAAGTAACAGATGGCTTTGATATCGATGGGTTAGCTGTCGTACGCCGTGCAATAACATATAATATAGAATCTCTATTAAGGAAAACATTCTAAAAAATAAAAAAATTCTGAAAAAAAAACAAATCGCTTTGTTTTTTATTTAAAAAAACATGTTTTAAAAAGACAAAACGTTTTTTTTCCAGTTTACATCGTTTTGATATAGAGCATTTAATGGAGAAACATTTTTTTTCACAACCTCTTGACTTGGGTATCAAATAATAGTTTGACGAGTGAGTAATTTTAAGAAATTTCAAAAATTTTAAAATTGTGTCGTTTTTAAATCAAACCAAAACTTTTTTATTCAAAATGACAATTTAATATTAAACCAACCAAGTATTTTATGCAAAAAGGTACAAAACGTTCAAACACATACATAATGCCTGTATAAGTTGCTTATATGCATAAAATGTGTAGCACCGGGTTTACATTGCAAGATTTGTTTGTTTTAAAGCTCAAGTTGTAGAAATAGTTCAAATGTCCGCCACTGATAGAGGAGTTCCGATACACAACGCTAACATAGTAATAAAATCTTAACAGACAAAAAACTGACAATAATAATTCATAATGGACTAAGTACTAGATTACTAAATAAAAAGAGTAGTAATAAGCTCGTTGAGTTCAGCGAGCGAACAACCCACCAGAATGGTCCGCCGTGGCGTATTCGGTGAGGAGGGGCGAGGCGGCCAGCGCCGCGTAATTCGTGTAGTCCGCGTACGGGGTGTAAATGAGCCCGTGGGGGTCGCCGGGCGACAAGAGGCTGCCCGGCGGCGCGGAGCCGTTGAGGATGCTGGCCGCCGTCGTCGGCACCGACATGCGCGGCGACAGGATCAAGGGTGCGCCGAGCGGCGCGTTCGGGTTGCGCATCGGCGTGTTCAGGCCGGGGATCGCCGGCGATAGCAGCCTTTGCGTTTCAACGGCAGCGGCTGCCACCCTCCTCCATTCTTCTTCGGCTAAAAAATAATAATTTTTTTGTTGTTGAGAGTGCTCTTGGTCGGCTAGAAAAAATAAGCGTTGGTAATTAGTTTTTGCTTTCAACAGATTTTTCTTTTAAACAATTTACATTTTAGATGATGTTTGGATAAGGTTATGCGTGCATTCATTTTTGGTTGCCAACATACAGGATTATAACTACTTTAAAAAGTTAACCAAACAAATTTAACAATAACACTGTAGGGAGGTGAAAATATCACAGCTAAACGCTCGGACATGTAATTCTAATTTTTGACTCTTAGATTAAAAATCCGTGCTTGGTTTAGCTGTATACCTATAGGTATCAGGTCAAAATTTAAAGATATTTAATTTTCAATTTTTGAAGCATGCCATTAGAAAACACATGGTATAAATTTAAAAAAAATCAATTGGGCTGGACCCACACATCAGTTTTAAATTAAAAAAAATTTATAAAAATATAAAATTTAGGGTTAATTGATTATAAGAAACACGTGTCCCTGAGGGTTTTATTTAGATAATTATCTAAATAAAACACTGCGCGTTAAAATTAACGCATAATTAGTAAAAAAAAACTCAAAAACGCCTTTACCAATCTTAATGAAATTTTGTATAAAAATACTTCAACTTATATCTCAGTTTACGTGTTCCAGGATTTTTCGAGAAAATATTTTTAAAGCCCTTTTATTTAACAACAAAAAAACGTTCAAAAAATAACTTTTAGGGAATTTTTTTAAGCAAATAAAAAATATGCTGTAAAAGACCGAAAGTATACCCTGAAAACTTTGTACAAATCAAACGAACAGTAACGAAGATACAGCGCTTCAACGTCGGTAAAAATGACCCCTTTTTGATTATTTTGTTGAAAAGTGGTCATTTTTGTTACTGCTTGTTTGATTTGTACAACATTTTCAGGGTATACTTACAAAAATACGGTCTTTCACAGCATATTTTTTATTTACTCAAAATTTCTTATAAAAGTTTTTTTTCGAGCGTTTTTTATTATTAAATAAAATGGCTTTAAGGATATATTTTCGAAAAACCCTTGAACACGTAAACTGAGATTTAAGTTAAAGTATTTTTATTAGGGTAGGTTGAAAAAAAATGTTTGTTTTTTTTTCTTAGCCATGGGGTAGAATTTGAACCTCATAAAAAAAAATTTCAAAAAAAAAAATTTTTTTTACTCAACATCTTGAGGTGGCCCACTCGTTTTTTAAATAAATATTTAATCAAATGGGGTAGTTCCAAAATCGTGGAAAACATGTAAAAATTGTAGAATGTGATTCTTTTTCACTCAACTTTCATTCTAATACAAAAGAACGTGCATTTAATTTTTTACTTAAATTACAAAAACAATGGAAAAAAAACTTTTTGAAAAATTTTGTGAGGTACAAATTCTACCCCCAGGCTAACATTTTTTTTTCAACCTACCCTAATAAAAATACTTTAACTTAAATCTCAGTTTACGTGTTCAAGGGTTTTTCGAAAATATATCCTTAAAGCCATTTTATTTAATAATAAAAAACGCTCGAAAAAAAACTTTTATAAGAAATTTTAATTAAATAAAAAATATGCTGTGAAAGACCGTATTTTTGTAAGTATACCCTGAAAATGTTGTACAAATCAAAGAAACAGTAACAAAATGACCCACCCTAATTTTTATCAAAAATTTTATAAAGATTGGTAAACACTTTTTAGAGTTGGGTTTTTTTTACTTGTTATGCGTTAATTTTGACGCACAGTGTATAATATATTATAATATAATTATAATTTAGGAAATTTAAAATATTTTTTGTTGATTTTTTTATTAAGTATAATTGAGGATACTAAATTATATTATATTAAACAAAAAAAGCAAAGGAATGTTGACACAAGAGGTAAAATATATTATTTCACAAATTATAATAAACCAGTATACAGTATGTCCCCGGTTCGGAATGCCAATAGGAAAAACTTTTTTAGACCTGATAAAGCTAAACCGAGCACGGATTTGGAATATACGGCCAAAAATTACGTTTACGTGTCCGAGCGTTTAGCTGTGATATTTTAAGAGTTTAAAATTTTTCTACAGTTTAATTATGTAAAAATGCCGAATAAAATGCTTGCTAGAATTATTTATCTAGTGGAGGTAAAAAAAGGATCAGTACCATCCAGTAAAAAAATTAAACAATAATTTTAATATATATTTTTGACTACACCCGCTAGATGGCGCAGTTGTCACGGAACAAAACTTTAATACTAAGTTGCCTATCTAACTAACCCCCCACCCACCCAACCAATCCCTTGTCTATGGCTCCTACGTTTAACCTAAGCGAAAGCTCTCGGTATTAGCTGCCTTTTTTGCTCTCATTTGATTACACTATTACCTAGAATTTTCTGGGTCACCCTGTATATACAAAGTGACTCTTTTAGTATTTCACTTTTTGAATTCGAATGAAAACAAACAAATTTTCATTTTTCAGAAACAAGTATTCTCGCTGTAGGCAGGTACTCATGAAATCAAAAAAGTAATATTTTCCGTTAGTAGGTGAGAATAGCTTGTGAGTGAGTGTACAAAGGAATAGTACATTATATAACAGGCAGAGAAAGCGCCTATATTATAGACGAGCTCAGTGTTCGTTGCAGATCTAACTAAGTAAGGCAGTTAATATGCTTCCTTTGCCGTGTTTTATATACTTTTTTTCCAAGCTTTTATTAATTATATGCTTACATAGGAATCTGTGAGTTTTGACATTTTGTCGTAGGTAGGTTATGTTGACTTTTGTTATATGTAATTTTAATGCATTTTCATTATTGTACGACGGTGTATGATAATTTGCCTTTTGAAATTCGTACAAATATAAAGTTTTTCTATAAAGGCTCATTAATGTTATAAAATGAAAATTGTTATATGCTTGAAAAAACAGACATTTGTCTGCCTAATTTAGACCATATATTGCCTAGTAAAATAAGTTTTGAAAATGAAAAAAATCCTTTGTTCAGTTCTAGTCAATTTTATGTAGAAAAAGTATTCAAAATTTCAATAAAAATAAAATTGGTTTTTGAAAAATAGTGCATACCAACTTCAAAAAGTTTTGATACAAAAGTTTTAAGTAATAATAAAACTAGCCTAATGGGAGGAGTTTCCAAAGGCTCTACTTCTAAAGTTTTAGTCCGGTAGACTTTGGGAAAATATTGTACAATTAGAAAAAAAAAGTATTTTTTTAAATTTCGAAACCCAACCAACCTTTTAGGAATGGCAAGTCTAATTATGTGTAACAATCTTAAAGGGTTCAACTTAAGCTAGATTTGTCTTAAGAATGCCAACTTAAACTAAGTATCTTAAAATGTCAACTACCTACAACGTTTTTAATTACAGCAATCTTATTTACAAAATGCAGGCAGGACATATAGCGTTCTAAATATATAAATGAAAAAAGAAAATCGTTATTGTTTATGTACATGCAGATGGTTTAGCAACATGTCATTTTAGAAATTTCATTATAATTTACTTAACAAAAAAGGTAGGTATTAAGAGTTTTTAACTATTTTCTCTAAACAGTGTTCCACCTGTCTACAAAAATAATAATAATTTACAAGCAATATTTTTCGACATTTTTCACCATACCCAAAAATAGTAAGCATAAATTGAAATAATAACTACCTGTTTGGATACCTAGAAAATACACAACAAATTCTAGCTTCCTAATAATTTATTTATGAGTCAGTCACATAATCTGACTAACCATTTACAGTTACTGTTAATTATTTAAACATCTATCCAAACGAAAAATATATTTTGCAATCATGCATATTTTTATTCATAAATATCTAATCTACTTTTAAGCTGATGGCAGAGAATGTTGATACAAAAAAACAGCAATAGTATTAGATTTTGAGTTAAGTAAGTAATGTTAGTCGATGAATTTGTTAGACTTATTTTTTAGCAAAGGCTTAGAACATCAATATCAACGTTCCCTGCATTCAGCATGTATAAGGAATTTTATTTAAAAATGTATTATGTACCTGATTGCTGATATTGAAGAAGTTGTTCAGGAGAATTCATATTCAAATCTATAAAAATTTAAAGCGTTTATATTTGTTCTGCAAGTTAAAATAAATAATAAATTGTAATTTATTTTAAAATAATATTTGGGCTTTATTATTTATTTTATACATCGCAGATCGTAAAATATTTTAAATATATTAATGTAATATGTTTGTAATAAAAATCTATTAATATATAATTTTTAACAAGTACAGAATGGTTGTTTTTAATTTATTTACTATAAAATCTAATTTTATTCGTTTTTTTATTAATTGGCTTAAATTTTGGCAAAAACAAATATATAAATCGCAGAAGTATTGTAAATTTACATATTTTAGTGATGAAAAAGTTAATAATTAATAATATTATGATTAATGTATGAATGTAAAATAATAGTTAAAATAAAAAGTAAAAAAATCGTTAAAATTTTAGTGGATTATAAATTAAACAAAAAAAATAAAACAAAAATTACACACAAGAGCAAAAACGTTAAGGGTGTTAATGTAAATAATTCTGTACTTGTCACAACAATGAGAAGAAGCATGCATGTTTTTTTTATTTCTTTTTCTAATTTTACCTGTTGAACCTGCTTTCGAACTTGAATCTCTGTATGTTCCATTAATTATGGCCAGTTCCATTAACTGTCTTTTCTTTAATTCATCTTCTCCATCGGCTTGCTGCAAAAAAATAGGCAACAATTGAAATTTTAACCTGAATTAAAATAAATGTATAGATTATAGACCATTCAGGGTCTCTAGTTTTTTGGATTAGTGATGTAGATTTTCACTCACATTTTCAAACTTGCCGACATTTTTTATGCCCATGATAGGCAACTATAGTTATATATATATATATTTATTTAAAAAATAATAAATTTGTTTTTTTTGTCCAACAATATTCGCAAAACATTCGCATGAATGCAAATCTCAAAAATCATGCGAATATTCGTTACATCGCTAGTTTAGCATTTAGTATACTGCACTATTATATTATCTTAATTAATGGTACTATAATAATAATAATAGTATATAGTATTAGGTACAGTGCCAATCATTTGAAAGTGCACGACTCTTGTGCCCAATTTGCGTATAATTAAGTTGTGTGATACTGACTTTAAAATTTAAGGTTAACGTGAAGTGTCATCATGACAGGTCGTTAAAAAAATATTTCGCATATTATTGATAGCTCTCATGACCAGGTAATTTTTTATGTTTGCTTTACCAAGAAATATTATGTTTCCAAACCAAAATAATATATATTAATAAAAGTAGTTAGGTAATAGTGATTAAATTAATTTATTATAATTGTTAAAAATTAATATTTTGTCCACGCACCATTTGCGTTTATTACGCTTTGTAAACGTCTCAGTAATAATAAGTGTTTTAATGTACTCATCATCCAAGCTTTCCCAAGCATTTTGTATTACTTCCCACAATTCTTCTATGATGTATACATTGGCCGGTTGAAAATGTCTCTTATACATTTCTTTCACGAGGATTCCCCGTACATTTTCAATTGTATTTAGGTCAGGCGACTTTGCGGCCCAAGGTAAAACTTGAATTTGGTTTATATTGAACCATTCGCTAACGGTTCTTGCAGTATGAACTGCACAATTATCCTAAAACTTTAAGTGTTGTTTATATTGTAAAATAAATACTAGTTATTGCCTGCTCGGCCATTTCAAGCGGATGGACGGGACAAATCACAAAACTGTTTTTATAAAAAAAATTGTAGCTAATTTATTATATATTATTTTTGCATTAAAATTGTCAAATATATTCTTCTATTATTAGGGTATACCATAGATAATAAATCATATAGATACGCCACTGTCACATATTTGACGCTCCTTGTTACGCACACTCGGTCCGCTATGCCGCTAGTGTACCCGCCTGACATTTATTGGTTTTAGGTTATGGTTTTAATTTAGGTTATCCTGTCAAATTTTGACAGTCAAAATGGTAAAAAATAAAAGGCCTGATAGTTTATTTAAATTGTTTATTTAAAAAGCAAAAATAAATGTATTATATTTTAAATTATTCAAGGTATTTACTAAACTAAACCAATTAACAATATAATATTGTATTCAAGTGAATTTTATCTTATTAAAGAACACAAATCAGTATAAAGTAATAATATTATGTACCACATTTGTGTTAGTACCTACATCATTATTTTAATAAAATAGTTATAATTGAATAATACAATACAACCTGGTCATCATTGTGAAAAGTATGCATCATAACTTGACTGTTAGAGCAGCCCACAGCACAGCACAACACCATGTTCAAATAATGTGGCAATATATAAAAAATAGAGTACACAGATAACGATAAATCGCAATTTTAAAAGTTTTTAAGCGTACAGAACAAACCAAATAAACACAATATGAATTTACAAAACTTTACAAAATTTATCAAACTGAAGTTTGTTGATTTCGTTACCAAGCAACCGTCAAGATTAACCGCCGCTCCTGCCACATGCAACTCGAGTGTAAACTAAAACCAAAGTCGACTAGACAAAAATGTGGATTTTGTTTGTGTAAGGCGAGTGCACAGGGCATGGGGTATACATTAAATAAAAAAAATCGCAAGAAATATTTTATAAAAGTAGAGATAATTTCAATAATTGACAGGGATGGACGGGACAAGATAAATCTTTTTTTTTGTCCCGTCCACACCTTTCAATTATTAAAATTATATCTACTTTCATAAAATATTTCTTGAGTTTTTTTTAATTAAATGTATAACCTAATAAAAGAAGAATATTTTTGACAATTTTGATGCCAAAATATTATATAATAAATAATCTACAATTTTTTTTATAAAAACAGTTTTGTAATTCGTGCGTTTCGCGCGCTTGAAATGGCCGTGCTGGAAAATAAAATTCTGCGGATGCATCATAAAATGATTTTATAATGTTCTCCATTCAAGCGATCTTCTACCCTCCAACAGACACCGGTAGCTTATCCATCCCCAAACGTTTACGGAAAAGTGTCCACTGCGACCTGTAGGGTTAACATATGGCTCTGCATACCTAGAATTTTGAGGTCGGTCGACACGGACGGAACCGTCGTGGCACGATTGAAAAACTTTTTCGTCCGAAAAAATTACATTCTCCCAAAAGGGAGAGGGTCTACCGACAAACTGGTTTGCAAAATTCACTCATTGTATTTTGTGTCTTGGTTCCAGAGACACTTTATTTGCTGCTCTATAGCACTTTAACTCTAAGCTATTTATCCGCCTTCTTGCAGTAGACACAGATCCAGGGAACTGTGTTTCAAAACGGGCCTTGCTGCCGAATCAAAGGGATTTCCTCTTAAATGATTGACAAGGAGGTAGTCTTCTTGTGCATTGCTTACTTTAGCACGGCCGCCGCCGTGAACAAACCGAACGTTTCCTTCCACATTCCATTTTTGTTTTAATTTAAAAATGCAGCTTTTACTAACGTTCGGGTCATCTCCCACTGCTTGCAACGACCAACCATTTTCCAGAAGAGCAATAGCTCGCATTTTTTCGGATTCAGATAACCGCGGCATTTTGAATTAATAAATAAATGTCAAATTAACATTTGACACATAAATATGACACATAAAAGATCGTATTACACTAGTGAAAAAAATCGTGCACTTTCAAATGATTGCCACTGTACATCGAAAAAATTCCGAAGATGAATTTTAAATTCCCGTGTTCCCCCTGACCTTCCCTTCGCCTCTTTTTTAATAAATTTTAATCGTTTATCTCATTTTCTATTGGTTGTAGAATAAATGTAGAACTTTAAATTAAATCCTTGAAAAAAATAGTATATCAAACCCGGTGGCGAAAGCTTATTAATTGCCTCGAACACAATCTACTGCCTCGGCAGTAAAATGTATGCTCGGCGATAATATATGCTTTCTCCGTCTGGTCTATAATAAACTATTATTTATAATTTCTCTCGACACCCTGTGTCGCACGTGTTATGCATTCAAATAAAGAAAGGGTTTTTGGTGTGTAGGATATTTCAAAAATGGCATTTTTGACAACCTTACTAGGTTTGTTATGGTTTAAAATTTGTTTTGGCCATAAATAATTAAAAAATTGTATATTTTTATTATGCCTAGTATTCTAAAATTTTATTTATCTACTCCCCCATTGATAAGCTGCGACTTTTCGGCGTTTTAGTCACAGGCTGAAGTTGGCAACAGTGGCTTTTGGACATTTTAGTAACTGGCTGAAGTTGGCTTTAATATAAATTTGAAAAAAGTGAGGTTAAGTCCGTTGACAGTTGACGGATGTCAAATGTTTAACAAATAAAATTGACTTTAAATTCTTCTTTGTGTCCGTCTCGTTTTATAAACTTCTTTAAACATCTTATTTTTAATAAACACTCGCTTGCAAGCTTCGCTCGTGCCTAATGAAACTCGGAAGTAAAATTACGTTTATTAAACTTGTTAGATAATATACTATTATGTCTTTGGTATTTAAAATTAGTTTTTAATGAGTTATTGTATGTCTTTTATATCTCATACTGTGTAATCAAAGCAAAAGTAACATTTTTATAAGCTGAAAACTGTTTAAAAATAGCCTGATAGCTGCATAACATCAACAAATATTTAGAATGAAAACCTTGTAACTACCATTTGTAACTTTGCGCCGGATAAGTGGTCCTATAAATATAAAAGGAAAACAAATAAATTTCATTTGAGAAAACAAAATTGCTCGCGCCATTGCAATTTCCTAGAATCAATCAATTTTAACTTTGTGCAATTTCTTAAACTTACTATACAGGGTGTCCCATAATTAGCGTGTAATACACAACACATCCTACGTACAAAAATAAGAAAAAAAGTTTCTATAAACATAGGCTTAGAAATGCTTTCTAAGGGAACTACAGCCCCTACAAGAGGAGCTCCTGAAGATGGTTTTTATTTAATATATCCAAAACCGTTCAAGATAGAAAAGTAAAATTTTGGGAATTAATCAAACTTTTTATGGCCAATAAGATGTAATAATAACAATTCCAAATTTCCATGAGATAGATAGAGAATAGGGGTTAAAACCACCCTAACTTTTTTATACGTGTCTCGTGCTAGGATTTGATGTCAGATTATAAAATTTCGGAGTTTTACACACAAAAAAGGTCCTCTTGTTAAACTTTGATATTATCCACTGTTTTCGCTTAAAATCCATTTAAAAATTACCTTACATAGCATAAAAGATCATAATGAATTCACAAGAGAGAAAAATTCAGCGTAGGCCATGGAACACAGCTGCCATCTTTAGGAAAAATTATTTAATACATGTAACAGTTTCATGTAATATGTGACAGGGTGTTTAATAATTATCCATGGCCTACGCTGAATCTTTTTCTCTAGTTGTGATTTCATTTTCATTTCATTTTTATGCTATGTAAGGTAATTTTTAAATCGATTTTAAGCGACAACGGTGCATGCTATCGAAGTTCATCATGAGGACCTTTTTTGTGTGTAAAACTCTGAAATTTTATGATCTGATATCAAATCATAACACAAGATACGTACAAAAAAATTAGGGTAGTTTTACCCCCACCCCTTATCTATCTGACCCACCCCTTATGAAAATTTTGTATTTGTTATCATTCCAACTTATTGGCAATAAAAAGTTTGATTATATCCCAAAATTTCACTTTTCTATCTTAAACGGTTTTTGAGATTAAATAAGAACCATCTTCAGGAGCTCCTCTTTCGGGGGTTGTAGCTCCCTTGGAAAGCACTTCCCGACCTATTTTTATAAGAACTGTTTTTCTTAATTTTGTGAGTAGAATCTGTTGTTAAAGTATTGCACGCTAATTATGGGACACCCTGTATATATATTACTATACTTGTTGACCTACTTATCTGGAAAGACAGTTTTTTCAAGTTATCTGGCTAATTCACACACTTCCACACGAATAACAGTTATTTGCTAATGAGTGGGTAATACATCAAAACGGTTCTGTTACAATTAAGAGACAAGGTAAACATTATTTTTACCATAGCGAAGATGTCAGATTTGCTTAATTTATGGTCGTTAATGAGAAGCAAAAACCACAACTATGTCGTCATTATTTTGTTAAATAGTCAAAGGCAAGTTGGTGGTTCACATGGATTAAACAAAATACAAACAAACGATTGTTAGAATTTAATGGTTTATCATATTTTTGTAATATCTAAAAAAACAATTAATGTTGACAGTCCTGATATTTCTTTACATTATTCTGTATAGAGTTCTTGATTTTTTTAATGATTTTCTGTATATTTGTCATATGTCATATTTTGTCGTTCATTTGTCTAGTTTTGAGGCAATAGGGCTATTAATAAAAATTATACTTACAGGTACAAGTAATTTTTTGACTTCTTCAACTGCCCTGGCCAACTTAACTTGGGCCCTGTTTTCTGTGTCTTCTACTGTGAGCAGAACGTGGAGTTCATCTGATAGGTGTTCCCAATTGGGTTTACCCCTATTCTGGTCCTCCTGCAAGGAAAAAAACATTCCGTTATTACTGCGAATTGTATTTAACGGCCCTGGCAAATAAAACATCGTAAAATTTTACGTACAAACAATAAAAACGAAACTAAAATGGTACACCCATAAAAATAAAATTAAAATTGATAGTTATCCTAAAAATACTTACTTAATTCTGCCTATTAGGACTGCATGAGAAGCAAGATAGATTTGTTAGTAGGTATAGTGTTTCAAATTTTAAAATATACATAGTTTACAATGAAACATATTATTTTCTATTGAAATACTGAATATGAAAATAATAATACATGTGATTAAAAAAATCAAGAATTGTAAAAGTATGGAAAAAGTAAAAAATAATAACAAAATTAGAAAACCATTTCTTAAATTTAGAGCAAATGGGTATTAAGTCCGTTTTTTTTCAATAGAATACATTATACCTCAAAATTTAAAAAAAGGAGGCTCAAAAATTTGTTAGTTCAGAACAAAAATCATAAATTTTTGAAATTTCAAAAGCTTCCGACCAAAATAAATATAAAAAATCAAGGAAGTTTCTTTGACAAGGAATTCCACACATTTACTTCAATAAAAAGCAAATTTTTAAATAATTTTAAATTTATATTGGTTTGATAAGTTTGTTAAAAAAAGATTTACGAAATATACCATTTTTGACCATAATAAATAAAAATAATGCAAAAAAGTCTTGATTTTTTATTCTATAAAATAAAAGTAATGCAATTGTTATTACTAAAAATACTCGTACTTTTGGGCAGATTTTTGGCTGCACAAGAAAACAAAAACGATTTGTTAGTATAGCATTACGAATTTCGAAATATAAATCTGTCGTAGTAGGTGAGCAAGGAAGACAGTATTTTATGCTCTTCTATTTTTTTTTACGGAATGACAAGCCAACACACCTGAGTTACAGCTTGGATCCGGGCCAAGAATGACTTATATATATATTTATAATTGTCCGTGCAGGTAAACAATAGGTATTTTCGGAATTGGGTTGATCAACAGCATTAACACTAAATTAAATAATAATTAATTCTACAAATTGCTTTGGTTATTTATTTGAATACGTATACATTCTAATCGCTTATCCATATTAATAGGTGGACAGGTGTGCTGGACGTATAATTTACTGTTGCTTTTCTAGCAATAACTTAACTTTCTTCAGTTTTTCACACTGGGGTACAATTTAATTAATTTAAAGATAAAAATGTCTTAAGCACTCTTACTTTTGACTATGTAATTTTTAATAAAAAATGATACTTTAATTCAAATAATATTATTGTAAATTATTTTGTTTAGTCAATTTTCTCATTTCACATCACATTTTTATGATTTAAAGTCACGGTAACATTTAAAACATTAATTTAGTATTCATTTAAGCACTGCATTACGTAAGAGTGCAACAGTTGACAGTATAAACAATGGAATTATTTGAGTGACGTATCCGCAACAGTCACACACACCTTCGTGTCCCTTTTTATGGCCCTTCCCTTTAATGGTTTATTACAAGAATAAAATGTTAGAAAAAAATCTGTTCTAAATAATATTTTTACTCTTGACATCATTTTTTTCAATATCAAAAAATTATTCTTTTAACTGCTCGAGGCCTTATATAAATTAAATCAAATAATCGTAATACAGCCATTAATTATAGAAAATAACACAGTACAGTAAATAAATAGCAACCTTTTAACAATTTTGATGCCAATCTCTTCATTTTAAAATGAATTATGGATGAAATTATTGAACAAATAGACGCGATAATTATTATAATATAAATAATACTAAGCAACAGGAAATTTGCTTTTTTTTTAATGTGTTTTTGATAGATGTGATTTAGAATTATTTAGAAAATTGTTAAAAAATAGGTACTTTGCCCAATAGGGTGGGTTGAAAACAAAATGTTTGTTTTTTTTTCTTAGCATGGGGGTAGAATTTGTACCTTATAAAAAAAGAAAATTAAAAATTTTTTTTACTCAACTCGGTTTTTAAATAAATATTTTTAATCAAATGGGGTAGTTCCAACGGGAATTTTTTTTTGTTCTAGAATCTGTAGGGTGTCCCCTTAAAAGCCAATTTGTAGTCAAAAGTTGAAAAAGGTTTTTCCCCATTGTTTTTGTAATTTAAGTAAAAAATTAAAAAATGAAATGCACTTTCTTTTGTATTAGAATGAAAGTTAAGTGAAAAAAAAATCATGTTCTACAATTTTTACATGTTTTTCACGATTTTGGACCAAAAAAGAATTTCCCGTTGGAACTACCCCATTTGATTAAATATTTATTTAAAAAACGAGATGTTGAGTAAAATTTTTTTTTCTTGAAAAATTTTCTTTTTTTATAAGGTACAAATTCTACCCCCATGCTAAGAAAATAAAACAAAAATTTTGTTTTCAACCCACCCTAATGCCCAATTTATTAAATTTAACACTAGACAATTTTAAAGGTTAGGTTTGTCACTTAAATGGAATTTAAAAAAATGTTACTGAACTAGGTTAAAACAATTTTTTTAAATAAAATATACAGGGTGTTTCAGAAATGTTACTGTAACACTTGAAAGAACTTTTAAGATATTTAAAAAGTTTCATTTTAAAAATTACAGTTTTAAAAATAAAACTTTTAAAATATATACTATACCCACCTATAATTATAGTGAATGCAAAAAGTTATAAAAACTGAAACACCCTGTATAGAATATATTTAATATTTTTGTTTAAGCTTTAAAAAAATTACTTATTTATTTATTTATTATTTTCTGACAATGATAACAATGTCACTATCAACTAACTAGTTTTATAGATACTGACTAAAATAAATATATGTATTACCGTAAAAGAGAATTTTGTTAAAAGTTATTCCAGGCTGTTTCTTGTCACTTTAACTCATATAAATTTTACTTGTAAATTCCTTTCCTAGCAAAATTATACTTGAAAATTTGACAGTACGGTTCACATACGGCAGCCTTTACTTACAATATACAACAATGGGAATTACGTGTCCATTTATTTAATAATATGTGTATGAGATGCGCAGTCTTTTTATTAATTAAATCGTCACCCTAATATAACAAGGTTGTATGTTAAAAAAACCGAAATATTTAAGTCTATGTTTCTACAGGGTTATACGTGGCCTACGCTTCACATACCACTTAAAAATAATTCTATAGAATGTATATTCTATGTATACATATATATAGAGTTATTTTCAAGTTGTATGTCAAGGGTGGATTACATAATAAAACGAACAGTTAACAAGTCCTAGACCATAAAGTAAGTAAAGGAAGCTAAAATGTTTTTGTTGACTAGTGTTTTTAAAGAAGTTAGTACTTAAGACGAATAATAATAAAACAATAATAAATAAACTATTAACGCACCTTTTTTTTGTCCCTCATCGAGCCCTTCCCTCTAACCATTATTTTACATCCAGTTTCTTGTTCTAGCTGTTTGGCGGTCATGCCTCTGGGTCCCAGGATCCTTCCCACAAAATTAAACTGAAACAAACGAACACACACAATTAGGTAATGCTGCGACAATAAAAGGAAATTAAGAAAATTACTGGCCGACGACCAATTTGCTTTGTTTTGTTTCAAAGTGCACCGTGATTGGTTTTTGTTTGTTTTGTTTTTAATAACGTTAAAGGCAATTAGAGACAATTAAATCTACTTTGTGGCATAAGCAATGTTATTCATCAACGATAAAATTATTCCCTCATTATCGTTGGTTATAAATGGGAGATAATTAAGGCAAATTAATTTAAAATAATGGAGTGTCTATAAAAGAATAAAAATCATTAGAAAGAGAATCACCAAAACAATGTGAAAATAATTTTAAAATAAACACTTGTATCTTAATATACAACCATATATAACCATAGAAATAACTGATATAATAATATAATAATACAAATAATCTCTTAAAATAAATTTGTTTGTAAATAAGTTTTTTGGTGGTACAAATTAAACATTAATTAATAATAGTTGTTTATGTCATTAGGCTGAAAAGTCGAATTTTTTTCATAGGATCAAAACGATTTTTTTACAGACTATGGGTAAAAATGTTTAACCGATTGGTCTGAATTATTTTTACAGTCTAGGCGTGTATGAGTACATATGTACAGGGTGTTTTCTAATAAATGGGACAACCCTATAAAATCTTTATTGGGGGAAATACTGAAATAATAAACATGGTTTAAAAAAGTAATTTTTTAAACAAATTCAAAAACAAAAAAGCATCAGAAAAATTAATAAAATAGCATTGATATTGTTTTTTAAATGAAACATTCTGTATATTTTTGAATATTTAAATAGTTTTTTCTTCTAGTTTTGCCATCAATTATTAGCGTTTTGTTAAAAATTAATAATAAAAACATGGTTATTTTACGACCTGATTTCTTTATTCATGGCAACTATAATTTTACGTTAAAATAAGCCAAGTTTTTGTTTCAATTAATAATAAAATGTTTAATACAAATGTTTTTAATTAGAATAATAAATTCTTCAAAAATTTACAGGGGTTTCTATTAATAAAACAATATTATATCTATTTTTATCAATTTTACTGATGCTTTTCTTAAAATTTTTCTCAAAAAATTTTGTTAAACCATGCAAGCTAGATTTTTTAATTTTTTAATATCTCTTCATTTCACATGGTTTAATATGGGTATTTTTTTATTTTAAGAGCTACAATATTGATTATATAAGAGAAAAGTGTAATTACAAGGCTAATAAAATGAAATAAAAAAAATAGCGGTTCTTAAAATAATAAAAACCTGTCAAAACAAAAAATCGTTATAACAGTTATTTCCAGGAATTTTGAAAAAAAGTAAACATACACATAATATAACACACAACCATAAAAAATTCCAATATGGTGAAAAAAGAAAAACAAAAAAAGTTTGATAGATAAAAATCACAAATTGGATGAATTTTTTAAACATTTTGTAATTAAACTCAATTCCCTACAAAAAATAAAATATATAATAATTTAGATAATTGCGATTTTATATTAAAATTTTTATTTTTATAACTGAAAACACAAATATCTCTGAAACTATAATATTTATGCGATAATTAAAAAGGATATTTTTTGCGGACAATTTAACAAACAATCGTAATTAAAAAAATATTTTATTTACTTTTAATTATAAGCCTAACAATTTTTGCCTTAAAGATTAATATGTATTTTTGCTAAATATCACCCAATTAATTTAAAAAAAGCGGATATTTGACCCACTCTACTGTATAAGCCGGCAAAAATAATGAAATATAAAATATTTTTAAAAATGTTCTTGTATGTTACTTATTTTATAAAACCATATAAGATACTATAGTATCAGGCCCGTGCGCACAGGGGGGTTTGGGTGTTCAAACCCACACCAGGAGGGTTTTAAATTAGAATGTTTTCTTAAAAAACTTAACCTAAAAAAGTATATTTTTTATAAATCATTTTCTGCAGGAAGCTTAAATTTTTAATTTTACGTATTGTTGCGTAAGTTACAAATGGTTTGTTTATTTATTGGTTTCTAAAATCTCCAAAACTTTGGGAAATTAGATGTTACATAATCAAAAATACTCTTGTTTATCCTATAAAAAATAATAAAATAATAACTAGATAGGTATGTCATGAAATATAAACAAATATTTGAAAATATAAAATGAAATGAAAATCAAAAATATCGAAATTAATACTAATTGAGGGATATGGCAAAAAAATTATAAAAAATAAAAATTACTATAAAAAATGGTTTATTAACGAAGAATCAAATAGAAAAGCACTAGATTTTGCACTCATATCGGTGGTTTTTAACTTGACGCTTGAATGACTACGGCACGTGCAATAGCCCATATTTACGGTGAAAATTTGCATTTTGCCTTCGTACGGAAGGCTGCAATTAATCTTGCAAAGCATCTGCGGCAGAACATAAAACAAAAGCGCCTTCTTTGAAATTATTTCTAGTCCTTTAAGCTCTAAACATATTGTCATAAATCAAAATAGATGTTGGCAAATTACATAATTGTCTTAATCGAGCCGCCATTGCGTGCTTTACGACTAACCTCTAAATTGCAGCTGGTTTATTTAAAATTTAAAGAAAGTTTTGTATTCGCTATGCAGTCGTGTTTATCACAGAAGCCTGATCTTTCTACATTGTTTCGCCATTGGTCATCGCAAAAGCGATCATTTAACATTCCAATGCTAATTTTTCACAATAAACGAATAAAATATCTGTGTGGTGGTAAACGTAAGACGTTTATGGAGAATGGCAAAAGATATAAAATTGAAATTTTTATAGCAATTATAATATTATTTAAACTATTTTTCTAAATTATTTTGAACAAAATTTCTCTTTCGGTTTTAACGGAAGCGATATCAACTTTGTTATTTTAAATGGATCAGCAATTTTTTTTTACAATTTTAGATTCTTATCATCATTCCTTATAAAATGGCTATATCATGTCCTATACCTAAACTTAGTTTTTGAGTTATTAATTTTTTTTTTGTAAAATTTGGTCATTTTCACACTGAACAAAAAAGCTTATAACTTTTTTAATATTAGGTTTGCTGATTTGGATTTATTGAAATCCTAAAGCACTGTTTTAAATATTCCATGTAAATTATTGTTATATTTCTAAAAAGATAATTGAAAAAAAAAAGTGAATGTAGCTAACTTAAAACAACAATAACTTTTTTAGTATTTTAATTGCCATAACACCATATCTTATAATATGTATGTGACGCTCACATTGCCTGGGCCTGTGTTATTTAAAAAAATATTTGATAATACTTATAAATAGACAAAAAAATAACACCATAAATAATTATGGTGGGTACTTACATCTGGATGTTCTTTTACTGGCACATATACTTTTTCGTTGAGTGTAGTTACTGGTCCATCGGGATCTGGTAATACTAGGGGCTCTTTTTTGACTCCATTTATTTGAAATAAACTGGCCCTAACTTTTGCTATTTCTGAAACAAGAAAAAATATAATTAATGAATGTCCAACAAAACTAATAATTATTATTATTGTATGTTTTATAATAAAGTTGTACAGTATTCTTTGACTTGTCTAAAAACCGTTTATACAAGTATATTAAAATAACGAGTATAAAAAATTTAAAATAGTCAAGTGACTTGGCAATTTACCAGATGGTTATTAAAACCACTTGTATTAAAAAACGTTTACAATACAATAGTTATTTATAAGCTACAAAAAAATTATATTTAAATCAAGTATTTGACCTTGTTTTTATATTAATCCCTATAGTTTTGTCAAAAGTGTAGAATTTTTTAATTGAAAATCCTTCTAGTGTTTATTTTAGTTAAAAAACGTAAAATTAGATTTGCGAACAAATTTATTTTTCTACTCCCACCTTTAAAAAGCCCATTATCGTACATGTTTCCATGACACTAAGTGACCTTTTAAATACACATTGACAAGATGTGACTTTATAGCGCTTTAGTCACGGGCTGAGGTTAGTTTTAAACTTGTTAAATGTCAAACAATCGTTAAAATAAAGTGCCTTTCTTGTAAAATATTACTAAATGTGAAAATTATTTTATTATCTTAATACAAAAATATTAAATAGTTTCTTGACGCCAATAGTAGTGCAGTTAACTAGATTTAACCGATAAAGCGTTAAAAATTTTACGTACAGTGCCCATAAAACATTTTTTTTTACTGTGAAAAACTGCTTCTATATCGATTGTTAGTCTATTTTCAAGGGATAAATTTTAATTTACACAGAAAAATTTGAGATTTTAACGCCGGTAGATTTTCAAGTTATAAATTCTAACGGGAATTCCAATAAATGCAACTGTCACTTTTTGTACCTTGCATGCACATTCCCGTTTAAGAATTTTTAATACTTTCTTAACATAATCATATTTTGAAGTTATTTTAATATTTTAAAGTATCAATGGTTGTTAATTTTAATTAAAATAATAACGGGCAATGTTAATGGTGAACATTACGTCAAAAATGTTTATTGGGATGGTTACTTTATTATCGTATAGATGTCGCTTTATACGAATATTTAATTTAAATCATTTTTTAGATAATATTAAGTGTTTGTCGTAGAAAATAGTATATTATGTATAAAGTTTAATAAACGCCATTTTAGTTACGAGTTTTATTGGGCACAAGCGAGGCTTGCGAGAGAGTGTATAATAAAAACGAGTGTCTAGAGAAGTTTATAAAAAAATAATAATCGTTTATTAATCCAACAGACAAACGTCCATACAAAGGATATAAATAATTACAACCAAATAAATACAGTGCAAAAAAAGTGGGGTACTTATTCTTCTAATATATTGATTTAAAGGTAAATTAAAAATATCACAATTCTCTTCAATCAGATTGTAAGCCCGACACATTGAATTTATAGGAGAATTCTTTCGTTCATTGGTATTTGCAGCTTCTACATAGAAAGCTTGGTGATACCTAGAATTTAGTCTTGGAATATGAAACTTAATTTTTAAGAGAATATCGGGGTCAAAAATTATACCGTGGACTATTTTATATAGATAAATCAAGCGATCATTTCTTTTACGTATATCCAAACTTTCCATGTCAAAGAACATTAAAGCACCAAAATAATCAAAATTAAAAACGGGGTGATATCCATAAACTAGGTAACAGAGATATCTACAAAACTTTCTTTGAATTTTTTCAATATTATCAATATGAATGTTATAAAATGGTGACCAAATGACGCAGGCATATTCAAATTTACTACGAATAGCGTTATATAGGATTTTCAAAGTATCTAAGTCTTTAAAATCTTTGGTGTTACGTACATTTAGTTAGCTTCTTTTATTACAAGATTTATATGAGGAACAAATGATAATAATAATAATAAACTTTATTAACGGAAAAAAAATCCATACAAAATACAAAGATTTGTCAAAAGTAACGCCCAAGTCTTTAATTGTTTAAACATTTCTTAAGGGTTCATTATTTATTTTATAATTAAAAACATTATTATTGATTTTTTTAGAACGAGTTGTAACCTACTAATCTTTATCTACGACGAACACAAAAAAGAATTTAAAGCCAATTTTATTTGTTTAAAATTTGACATCTGTCAACTCTTAACGGATTTAACCTCACTTTTTTATAATAAAGCTAACTTCAGCCCGTGACTAAAATGCTCAAAAGCCACTGTTGCTAACTTCAGCCCGTGAATAAAACGACATAAAGTCACAGCTTATCAATGGTGGAGTAGATAAAGTATATTATGCAACTCGTTTATAAACTTTTCTCGCTTGCAAACCCGCTCGTGCCTAAATTAAATTCGTGACTAAAATGGCGTTTATCAAACTTACATACATACATAATATAATAATGTATACAAGGCATGCATGCATTTTTACATACTTTTCAGTGTCACTGACGCGTTACCGAAATGACGATTTAATTCGAAACATTGGGACTGGCAGTTGTCTGAAATCGCTATTTTCCGTGACTGTACTTTCAAATGGAAATACCGAACAACAGATTTCTTTTAAACGTTGATACATTAATCCTCCTGGTATTTGCCAGATATCTACACCAGATACAAGACAAGACAAATGCTGCTAGACAATAAATCAATGGTATCCATTCATGGAACTGCTCTCCGCGGAATCAGAATGGGTTTAATGATGTCGAACGGAGGTGTAGCTACACAGCTTGTTGTGTTGTGTTATTGTTATTGAGCAAGAAAGAATTGTTTTGTTTTGTTAACGATATTCTAATGTGGGAAAACAAAGCGCGCCTATTAAGAGTGTCATTTGAATTACAAAACAATACCTAGTTTTTGTTTGTGGGTTTTATGAAAAGTTGAAATTTTGGCGAATGCGCCGGGAATTGCCGGTTATCAGGGTCATATATAAATTTTTATGGTTTCCATGGATTTACCACGTTTTTTAATCATCTTTAAGGTACTAATTTCCATGGCGTTCTTTATATACATTAATACATTATGTAATACGTTTTATACACACTATTAATTTACAAGTTTAATTAAGGACGGACAATAGTAGCTTGCGGAGCGTGTTAATAATAAAATAACCAAACTTTATCTACGACAAATACAAAGTTATATTTTTGGAATATAAAGCAAATTTTGACCACTTGAGGAATGTACACTACTTTATCTGCAACACAACATTTTTAATTTTTTTTTATAATTATTTAAATTTTACATTGACAAATATTTCCTTAATTTTGTCACCATAACGTTAGTAAAAAACCAAACAAGCAAAAATTCCCTAGCACAACTGTTACATGTTACATGTAACTGTAGCAATTAAAACATAATCTAATGACATTCCCTGCAATCGGCCAATTTTACAAACACTATTCGTAAATTGAAGTTTAAAATTGTCAGTTGGCGTTTTATATAGTCGTCGTAGATAAATTACTTTTTTCTACTCCCACCTTTAAAACGCCCTTTATCGTACATGTTTCCATGACACTAAGTTACCTTTTAAATACACATTGACAAATTGTGGCTTTATGGCGCTTTAGTCACGGGATGAAGTTAGCAACAGGATTTTAGTCACGGGCTGAAGTTAGTTTTAAGTTAGTTGACAGTTGTCAAATGTCATACAATCGTTGAAATAAAGTGCCTTTCTTGTAAAATAATACTAAATGTAAAAATTATTTTATTATCTTAATAGAAAAATACAAAAGTATTAAATAGTTTCTCAACGCCAATATTTGAAAAGTTGTACTGACCTTTTAATTTCGCCGGCAGTAAACTATAACTTAAATTCGGGCACGGGCTCCACTGTAAAGTGCTCATAAAACATTTTCTTTACTTTCACTGTAAAAAACTGTCAATTTTCAAGAAATACATTTCGATTTATAACCTTTGTAATGTGTTTATTATTAATATTATTTAAAAAACAGTTCAAAACCTGATTTTACACGACTTTTTAATAATTTAAATCCACCTTTTATTATGTATTCAGTTTGATAGACGCCATTTTAGTCACAAATTTTAATTAGGCACAAGCGAAGCTTGCGAGCAAGTTAAATAAAAATGAGTGTCTAGAAAACTGTATAAACGAGTTGCATACTAAACTTTTTCAACGACAAATATTATTAGAAAAATAATGTATTACTTATTAATTTTAATAAATATTTGTAGAGAGCGATATCCATAAAAAATATAGTTCCCAAAATTGATGTAGGCAATCAGTTTAAAAATGTCAGAGTCAGTTTTTAAATATTTCTGTAAAAATCAAAATTTCTCCCTTAAAAATTGACCAACACCCATTTTAACCCGATGTAGTAGTAGTTTCTTACAGTCAAACAGCACTTCATGAAGAATATATTTTTATGGATACTCCACCCGAAATTATGAATGCTTTATTAAAAGTTCAGTACAAACGTGCATATAAACTTTTTAAATGAAAATATTACCATGAAGGACGTTTTTTTTATAAATGTGACCTATAAAATCTTTATTAGGAGAGATATCGAAAAAAATACAAATCCAGCTTGCATGGTTTAAAAAAGTATTTTTTTTGACAAAAATTAAAAAACAAATACTTATGCATCGGTAAATTTATTAAAATAGCATTACCATTGTTTTTCTTTAATGAAACACCCTGTATATTAATATTTGAATAGAGTTTTTTCTTCTGGTTTTAAAAATGTATAGTGTGTATATATTTGTGTTTAGTGTTTTGTTAATAACTGACCCGAAAATTATGCAAAATTAAACGCGCCAAACATGGTTGCCATGGAACAATTATTAGCGTTTTGTTAAAAATTGATAATAAATCATGGTTATTTTACTAGGTGATTTCTTTATCCATGGCAAACTATGATTTTTGCGTTAAAGTAAGCCTAATTTTGGTTTAATTATTAATAAAATGTTTAATCAAACATACATATATAAATATTCAAAAATATACAGGGTGTTCCAATAAAAAAACAATGTTATATCTGTTTTTAAATTTTTGTTAAAAAAATTAATCTTTTAAACA